CCCCCCAAGTATTTTTATTAAGGTGAATCATTTCCAATGTCTCTTCCATTTAAAGCAATAACATATTTGGCCCACAAGTAACATGTTTTCAAGGTTTGTCAAATGTGAGCGACCAGTGAAGAACAGACCAGGACATCTGATATACAAAAAGGTAAGTGATTTTATTTACAAGTGTAGGGGAAAGGGGTTCCAGCCTGAAAGAGAGGAGGAGGACCAGGTTATTGTCGGAGTGACTTGAAGGTAAGTAGTTGCAGGTAATTTTAGTTTCAGGTGAGTATTGGTAAATGCTTGCATGTTCCAGGTTTTGGTGCTGCGTGGAGAGGAGGGACAAAATCCAGGAGGCAGGCAAGGTTTCCAGGTAGGGTGGCCTGACAGACAGGCAGATGATTTCAAGCAAGTGAGGCAGACAGGCACAGGTCATGGTGAGTCTCAGGGCAGGCAGGTTCTTAAGATGAGCGATCCTTGGAGAGGCAGAAGTTCCAACAGGAAAAACTGGACACAGAGGTAATGCAAATAACACACGGTTAGATAAGCTTAGGTAAGGTCAGTGGTTGGCACAGTTCCACTAAAGCACTAATAGGGGAACTAATTTCCTGATTAGTGCTTTAGGGCTTTTGCTAATTTTAAAATTTATTAGTGGATTAGCACTTGCTAAATATATAGGCTAATTTTAGAAGCACTAACTGAGGTCTATAAATGTTAATGATCAACATAAATGTTAACAGCTGAGGGTGGAAGCTGTCACACATTTTATTCATATGTGTCACTGATCCACCAGGTGACAACATATTGACAATATATGAACCCAAATACAGCTGTGGAATGTCAATGATAAGTCTGAAGAGAGCAAAATGGCAACATGTGACTCATGTTGTCTGTTGAAGAATGTTGATGGGTTGACTGGGTTATTTTAATGCTTTATATTTAGCTTTTGCTAAAACTTTCAGTGCATTAGTGCTTTAGAATTAGGGGACCTAAATATTTGAGTTAACGCTTTAGAATTAGGGGACCTAAATATTTGAGTTAGCGCTTTAGAATTAGGGGACCTAAATATTTGAGTTAGTGTTTTAGGGCTAGTGGAACTAATTTTTAGATTAGTGCTGCCCACCACTGGGTAAGGTTAATACTCTTAGCAGCTGAGATGCTTTACCCAACATAAGCGATGCTTCAGCGAGGAACCTATCTTCAATGCTGCCGTAAATACAGGTGAGGCTCATCAGACAGGAGCTGCCACAGCTGAGACCAATTAAAGCTGTCATCTCACAGGAGACTCAGGTAAACAATACAGAATGTCACAACAAGTTTGTTTTGTCAAGTCTACAAATTTTAAAAAACTGAAATACGTTTAATATAATCTGATTCAGAAATAAAAGTTGCCCAAAAATTACTATCAACTACAGCCCACTCAGTCAAATTTTATTAAAAACAAATTCACATTTTTTAAGTTAAAATGTTAATTTAACTATTTAAAAAAACACTAGATCTATGTGTGGTGAAATTTAAACTCCTGAGTTGGTGAGTTTGTGCTAAAATAATAAATTCACAAGAGAATGTTTGACGCTAAAAAGATTAGCATCAAAGAGCTATAGCCACAGCAGCATCTTGTATTGTAAAGGTGGTTTTTATGAAGTTCTTTCAATTGCAAAAGTGTTAACCTTGTTTATGTTTGTACCTAACAGAGCTAAAGTAAAATTAATCCTTTCTTGAAACAATGAACACAGCTTTTGATACTTTCTTTAAGGAAAATGTACCAACTCTAAAACTTTAGCTATTTTTATTTCATCCAATCCATCGTGTCATGTTTGGGGAACATTATACCTTTTTAATATTGCTTTTCTTTTTGCATATTTATGTATATTGAGTATTTATGTACAGTCAAATCAAAAAAGAGAAGTATAATATTTCAATACAACAGCACAGAATACAATTAATAAAGTAAACTGTAATTCTAAACTACATATTTAATTTTAAAAAGTCCTTTTCCTCTGTAGTCTCTATCTTCAGCCCCTGAGCAGATTTTGTTGACGACTCTTGGTGTCCAGTATATACAGTATTTATAATCTTTTCTAATTCTCATTAATGTCTCCAAAGGTTTCTGTGCCTAATCTTTCTGTCCTCCCTGATCACTTTCTTTGTCCTCCGTGCTGTTCTCAGGGCTTTATCATCCGTCTCGAGTGATCAGGGAACACTTATATAACTGGCCTACAGTGGTAAACCCTGTTTCTCCAGCTACACAGCTTGTTAATGATCTGTGGTAATCACCCCCAGACAAAGAAAGCAACATGTAAATGCAGATGTTAGTACACATGTGCTTTTGTTGTATGAGATCACATAAAGGTGGGTTACCTTCCTCCTTTTGATTTATTGTGCAAAAAAAAGGCAGAAAGAGTGCAAGCATTGTACACACTGACCTGTTGCTTCTCCTGAAGCTTCTCCACTGCAATACGTCAACAAATGGAATAGTATACATATTTAAGTAATACAGTGGGTAAAATAAGTATTGAACATGTCACCATTTTTCTCAGTAAGTATATTACTAGAGGTGCTAATGACATGAAATTTTCACCAGATGTCGGTAACAACTCAAGTGACACATACATACAAAGAAATCAAACCATAATAATAAATAAATAATAAAATAACTTAATAATTTGGGATAACACTACAGTAGATGTAGTTTGTTATTGTGCTCATTTTAGT